TATATATATATATATATATATATATATATATATATATATATATATATATATATATATATATAGGGCTGATGCTTGTGTTTGTTTTTTTGCCTGTCTGTGTCTCTCTTCTATCTGCTATTGTCTTGCGGCGTGCCTCTTTATAATGCATCTGTATGCCAGCAAACGGACTCAAGAGAAAGACAGACAGTTATGAATGCCTGCCTCTGCTTGTACATACACTGCGTTAGCCAGTGGGGTAACGATTATTCTTGTTGGCGGCTTTCTGTCTCTTGCACATATACCCCACATCTGTGTGTCTTTGTCTGTCTCCCTCTCTGATGCCGTATATATCCCTGTCTCCCTATCACTCTGCTCTTGTCTATCCTTCCATGTCTAGCTTCCTGTATCTGCCCCTGTCTGTCAGCCTGTCTATTTCTCTGGCTGTCTGTCCGGCTACCTGTCTGCCTGTTGGCCTCTATGCCTGCCTGCCTGCCTGCCTGTGTTTCTCTCTGCCCGTGTCTGTGTTTGTCTCTCTGTTTGTGTGTGTGCCTGTCTCCCTGCCTGTTTGTCCTATATCTCTGCCTGTTTGTTTGTCTGTCCGTGTGTCTGTCTGTGCCTGTCTGGCTGTGTATCCTGTCTGTCTGTCTCTCTGCTTCTCTGTCTGTCTGTCTGTCTGCCTGTCTGTCTATCTGTCTGTCTCTTTTCCCCTTCATCGCTGTCTGCATCTGCTGGGCCCTGGCTGTTATTCCTTTATCGTATGATCCTCTGCCCTTTGAGAGTCCATGCAATTATAAATCAGAAACATACAAACTATGGATAAACAGAATATAAAAACATGGAGCCACATATAAAATTTTAGTGATGAGTACAAATGTGTGTTTGTATATATAAATATTTATGTAAATATACAAATATAAATGAGGAGACATAGTCTCCTGTCCCTCGTCTCTCTCGTTCTGTCTGTGACTATGTGCGCTGTCGTTGTTAATCCCTGCAGCAGCAGAAGCAGCTGCATATGCCAATCTGCAGCAGTAGCAGTAGCTGCCAATCTTTGTCAGCAGCACCAGGAAGAAATGCTGCTGCAGCAGCAACAGGAACAGCTGCTGCTCCTGCAGCAGCGGCCCGTTTGCGTCAGGACGAGCCGCCGGCAGTTGTCTTCTTTGCTGCTGCTGCTTCGTTTGTGCATCTTCCGTTGCTGTTTTCTGGGGGGGCCATCGGGCACTGTTCTTCTATGGGGAGGTCAACCGAAGAGTTAAATATTGATTCATTATTTCTAACTACCGTCACACTAAAGCGGTAGTGAGGCCGGGCATACCGCCCCCGTTGCTCCAGTAATGTAGACAGACGTTCTATCTCTTCTTCTCTCTGCGCTTCTAGCTGCTGCCTTTCCGTAGTGGGACTGGCAGCAGCATCAGCAGTTGCAGTTGCTGCTGCTGCTGCTGCAGCACGATCAGGGGACCCCTCGTGGCCCCCTTGTGGAGGACCTTCAGCGGCAGAGTCTTCGCAGCCCCTAGCCCGACTGCGCTTTACCTCTTCAGGCTCCTGCGTGGTCTCAAGGAATCTCTTACGCCTTCTGCTGCTGCTGCTTTGGCTGCTGCTGCTGCTGCTGGGTTCCTTTGGACTTCCGCTTGTGCTGCTCTCCTTGCTTGTGCTGCTGTTGCTGCTGCTGTTGTCGCTTTGCTTCTGGGGGCTGCCATTGTTACTCTGCGTCTTGTCTCCCGCTGCTTTTTTGCCTCCCCTGCCACCACGAGCTGGGGGAGACGAGCTACCGCTGTTGCTGCTGCTGCTACTACTGCTGCTGCTGCTGCTGCTACTACTGCTGCTGCTGCTGCTGCTACTACTGCTGCTGCTTTGTGGTTGCTTCTTTGGTGCGCTGCGGTTGCCTCTAGGCTGCTGTTTCTCCTCTCTCTTTGGCAGCAACAGTTCACTGTGTTCTGGTGCGTTGTGGCAGGTCCTACGTAGGCGAACAGATCGGATGTTGCTGTCGCAGCTGCTCCAGAACGTGCTGCTGCTGCTGCTGCAGCTGGGTTGGCTGTTGCTGCTCTCTGGCGTTGTTACAATAGGACAAACACCGGGCTCTTCTTTACTGTCTCCATGAGGGACAGATTTTATCTTTTCGCTGCGGTCGTCTGTTTCGTTTGCTTGGGCTGACTCGCCGCTTGCTTTTCCGCTGTTACGTCTGCTGCCGCTGGTGCTGCTGCTGCTGCTTCTAGCTTTCGAGGACCCTGGAGAGCCCCCCTTTCGTATGGCTGTTGTTGATGCTGCTTCTGCTGCTGCTTCTGCTGCTGCTGCTGTTGCTGCTGCTTCTCTGTCAACGTCGGTCGTGGCTTCGGCTTGCTCGTTTCCTGCAGGCGGAGGCAGATCTTCTGTAGGGTTCCAACCGCTGCTGCTGCTGCTGCTGCTGCTGGTGTTGCTGCTGCTGCTGCTGGTGTTGCTGCTGCTGCTGCTGGTGTTGCTGCTGCTGCTGCTGCTGCTGCTGGTGCTGCTGCTGCTGTCGTTGTTGCTGCTGGTCCTGCTAGGAGAAGAACCTTTATCGGAAATGGAACGGCTGCTGCTGCTGAAACTGCTGTTGCTGCTAATGCTGCGCCCACCCCCCATCTTCTGACTCGAGCGCACTGCGGCCTCAGGGTCCTGCGGGGGCATGCAACGACGCAGCAACACCACCTCAAATGCAGCCGTAGCAGCAGTGACAGCAGCAGAAGCAGCAGCAGCAGGAACGTTTCCGGAGCAGCCAAGCAGCAGCAAAGAGCAGGTAGGCAGCAGCAGGACTGAAGTATCCATGGAAACACGAGAAGCGATAATGTGTAAATGCGCAGCAAATAACTTTCTGGTGCTTCTCGCTCTGCTGCTGCCTCAGCAGCTTGCGTGCTGCTGCAATGTTGCGCAGAAGCGTAAGCCCCCTGCACCTTCTGCTGTGTCTTGTGGTGTTCATGCGCATGCTGCTGCTACTGCTGCTGCTGTCGCTGCTGTTGCGGCTGTATGTGCACGGAAGCAGCGCATCAATGGCGTGTATGCTTACGTAGTTTTGTAGATCCGCTGAGGCAGTAACATGAATGATGTCTCCCTTCTGCACGAGCGTCTCCGTGGGGAGGAGTACGATCCCCTTGAACCAGCACGACGTACCCTGCACAGACCGCGACGCTTCGGGGTCCTCAGTGAAGCTGCTCGGGCAAGTCTCAGTTCCTACGAGCACACCCTGTAGCAGCAGCAGCAACACCGGCAGCAGCAGCCACAGCAGGAGCAGCAGCAGCAGNCTACGAGCACACCCTGTAGCAGCAGCAGCAACACCGGCAGCAGCAGCCACAGCAGGAGCAGCAGCAGCAGCAGCAGGAGAAAGATGAGCCCAAACAACGGCGGCAAGGCTGGTGTCCCTAAAGATGCGTAAGAGCTGATGCTGCCGTCGTTGCTGCTGCTGTTCGCTGCTGTTGCTTGCTGCTGCTGCTGCTGTTGCTGCTGTTTTCTGTTGCTTACTGGGGCGAGTTCGACTTCATTTGTGATGCAAAAACCGGCAAACAGACCCTCTCTAGCCACGACAAACTTCAGGTTTCTCTTCTGCTGCTGCTGCTGCTCCATGGGCTCCTCAAACAGCAGCTCCTCGAAGACAGGCCGCACACTTTCCAAAGTATCTTCTGCTGCTTCTGTTTCTGCTGCTGCTGCTGGTGCCTCCGTTGCTGCTTCTGTTTCAGTCGGTTGCATGGCCGTTGTAGAGGGGTCCTTTGTCCCTCCTCGGGCTCTTCCTGTTGCAGTATCTGCTGCATCAGATGTTGGTACTTCTGCTGCAGCTTCTTCTGCTGCGTCATCCNTCTTCCTGTTGCAGTATCTGCTGCATCAGATGTTGGTACTTCTGCTGCAGCTTCTTCTGCTGCGTCATCCCGCGTACCCTGCTGCTGCTGCTGTTGCCACTGCTGCTGATGCAGTTCGTCTGATTGCTCCTTAGTAAGCGGTCGCTGCAGAATGCGGGCCTTGGGATCTGAGCTAAGTCCTTGCAGCACCTCCACAGCAGCAGCAGAATCGGCGAGCAGCAGCGGCTGCTGCAGCAACCCCACAGCCTGCAGCAGTCTCCTTCTAGGAGATACTCTGCTTCGCTGCAAGTAGGTGTGGTGGGCAAAGGGCAGCTGCTGCTCTCCAGGGAGGCAGCAGGGGCGCAGCAACGTTCTTGCTGCTAGCGGAATAGATCGGGGGAGACGGGGTGTATCTATACCCTGCTGCAGTTGCAGCAGCCGCAGCATCTGCTGCAGGTGCAGTACGACGTCTGCTGCGCCTTCATTCCCAGCGAAGTCCCCAATTATCTCGTGCAGCAGCAGCGTGTTACTTAAATCCTCTTGTGTTTCTGCTGCTTCTGCTGCTGCTGGTGTTTCTGCTGCAGGCGGGGAAGGTGAGTTCCTTTTGCTGCCGCTCCTGCTGCGGCTACCGGCGCGGGTGTTGGTGGATCTATGCTGCTCTTGCTGCTGCTGTATGCTGTGCAGCAACTGCAGTTGCAGCAGCTCCTGCTGCTGCTGCTTCTGCTGCGGCTTTGGCTTGAGCAGCTTCCTGAATCGGGCCGGAGACACATCTGTTGTGTATGCACACACCACCTTAATCTGCTGCTCGTATCCCAATGCCCTGACAAAGGAGCAAGCGCTGCTGCTGCTGCTGCGCTCCGCCTCAAACGCAACAACTCGGCGGGCCCCTTCTCTTGCTGCATTTATAGACAAAAGCGCGAAAGGGCCCGTCCCTATTTCTATAACAAGGGGGCCCTGAGGGGCCTCCTGTGGGGGCCCCTGCGGGGCACTGACACGCAGCTTTAAGGCCTGCTGATAGGCACCAACTCTCTGGAGGTCTTCAGTCATAGTAATGTGGTTACGGAGGAGGAAGCGAGATGTTATGCTGCAGCTGTTGGGGTTGTCTGTAGGCAGCACCATCTGCTGCAGCACGCGCTGCTGCACCAGATCATCTATCTTATCCTGTAGAGATAACTCTTTCGCCTGCTGCAGCTGCTCCTGAGGAATCTGCTGCTGCTGCTGATCATGACGATCTTGTGCCTCTTCTTGCTGCTGCTGAGAATGTTCCTGTGCCTCTTGCTGCTGCTGCTGCTGCTGCTGC